AAAAAGGATCCCTTACGCACTATTGATGGGACTATAAATTGGTACAGCCACTATGGAAAACAGTATAGAGGTTCCTCAAAAATTTAAAAATAGAACTACCACATGATCCAGCAATTCTACTTCTGGGTATTTATCCAAAAGGAAACTGAAACACTAACTCAAAAAGACATCTACACCAGGGGTGTCAAACTCATTTTCACAGGGGCCATATCAGCCTCATGCTTGCTTTCAAAGGGCCAAATGTAATTTTAGGACTGTATAAACGTAACTACTCCTTAAATACGGGCAAGGGGCAAGGAGCTCGGTGCTGCCACTGGATAGAAATAAGGTGCCGGGCTGGATAAAACAAGGTGGAGGGCTGGATTCACCCCGCAGGCCTTGTGTTTGTCACCTGTGCTCTACACTAACTCAAAAAGGCACCTGCACCTCCCCCTCATGTTCTTTGCAGCATAACTAGAATAGCCAAGGCATGGAAGCAACCCTAAATGCCCATCAACGGATGAATTGATAAAGAAAAAACGGTGTTTATATACAACAAAATATTATTCAGCCATAAAGCAGAAGAAAATCTTGTCTTCTGCAACACCATAAATAGATCTTAAGGTCATGATGCTACATGAAATAAGTCAGACAGAGAACGACAAATACTGTATGATCTCACTTATATATGAAATCTAAAAAAAACAAACACCAAACTCATATACAACAGAGAACAGATAACGGAGAACAGTTGCCACAGGAGGGTGGGGTGTGGGCCGGGGCAGGGAGATTGGGAAAATGGGTGAAGATGGTCAAAAGGTACAAACTTCCAGTTATAAAATAAGTCAGTCATGGAGATGCAATGTACAGCATGGTGACTACAGTTAATAATACAGCACTGTATACAGGGTGAGGCAAAAGTAGGTTTATAGAAAGTTTATTCTTGTGTTATTATTAATTATTATATTATTTTCCATGTGAATAACTGTAAACCTTCTTTTGCCCCACCCTGTATTTGAAAGTGCTGAGAATAGATCATAAAAAGTTTTCACCACAAGAAAAAAATTGTAACTATATGTAGTAGGTATGCATGTTAATTAGACTTATTGTGGTGATTTATTTCACAATATATATACAAAAATGTAATTATTATGTTATATACCTGGAACTAATATAATGTTATATATCAATTACATCTCAATTTTTTTTAATTAAAAAAAAAACAAAACCCGGGGCACGGAAGTTATATAACATAACCAAAGTCACACAGCTGAAACATGGTAGAGCTCAGATTTAAAACTGGTGGAACTTCAGAATCCAAGCTGTTACCCACTTCACCAGAATGCCATCAAAGTCATTAACACCAGTAGGAGTGCATCCCTCAACTTCTCTACTGTACACTTAAACCATCATCCACAGTAATTACTTCACTCAACACTGACTGATAACTAACTTACCTTGTTTTGTTCCTTAAACACAAGCCTATTCTCACCTCAGAGCCTTTATTACAACTTCCTAAAACACTCTTCTTCTAGATCTGCCTTCCCATCATTACAGTTCAACTTAAATATTAATTCCCAAAGAGATCTGTCCGGACCACCACTTAAAACAGCCTCCCTGCACTACAAATTGTCCATCACATAAAATTGATTTTATTTTCTTCACAATTACTTATCACTACATGTTATTACCAGTTGTTTATTTCTTCCCACTAGAATGGAAGGTCCAAGAGAGTAGAGACCTTGTCTATCTTGCTCATTGCTTTATCTTCTGCACCTAAACCAATGCCTGGCTCATAGTAGGCACTTGATATTTATAGAATGGATGCCAAATATTGTGCTAGATATTTGGATTACCAGAATAAACCGGATATAATTCTTATCCTCGATATACTCCGCTTTTGTATTTACAAATACTTATTTCCTCCCCTTGTCTATTAAAGAAAAACTAGCTCCTAACTTTTTCAATGGCTAACCGCTCCACCTGTCATCTTAAAACAGTCCCTGAGATGCCCCTCTCACTTCTATAATTTCTCCGTCTCCACTCACTGGTAACCCGGTAATCTCCCCATTACCTCAACATATCCTACTGAATCCTCACCACATCTCTCTACTATGACCACTTCTGCAAAAGTCATCAGTAACCTGGAAAGTGTTCTCACTTTCTTCAGCATTTAACACTGCCGTGCCCTTTCAATCCACTTTCTTAGGACTAATATCTCCTTCTTAGATGCTAATATTTCGTGGTTCTCTTCTTAATATTTTTATCTCTTTAAAGCTACCTGTATATTGTCTCCTTTCTCTCACACTTTAAACTTATGCTCACTAGAGCTTCATCTTCTATTCCTGCTCCATTCTGTCTCTGAAACTTCTCATCTGCTCTTCTAACTCTGCTAGTACTCCTATACAAATAATACTCACTCAGTGCCTAAATCCCAACTCCATTTTCCCCATCACATTTAATAAGAAAAAGTGATTGAATTGTTAAGCAAAGTCTCGATAAAGAATAGTTTCAGGCTAAGACTTAGAAAAAATTATGTGAATGATAATAAATAACGATGTTCTAAACAAGCAGTAGAAGGTAATATTATACAACTTGAGGCTGGTTTCCATGAGTGCTTCTTGAAATATTTGAACTAATTCTTTATTAATTTTAACTGACAGCTTGTACAAAATTGGGCCAAAGAGTAAAAATCATTCATAAATTTTATACATGTGGTTAATCTACATGAATTTTGTTCTAGCTATATAGAAATTGTATTATTACACAAGTATGGTAGTAAAAAGCTAAAGTACAATTTATACCAGTCACAAATTATTATTCGGTTGGCCAAAAAGTTAATTTAGTTTTTTCCATACAATGACTCCAGTAGTCTTTAACTGCATTCTTTATGTCTTCATGTCTTAAATTTCATTCAAAAAATTTTGTTAGACTGTATTGTGACAGCTGTCATATTAGCACCCATTTTTAAAAAGCTTATCAAAATTGGTGAATTTTTGTGCAGCCATTTTAATATTGAAGATGGAAGAAGATACCCAACATTTCCAGAGTATTATGCTTATTTCAAAAAAGGTAAAAATGCAACTGAAATGCAAAAACAGATTTGTGAAGTGTATGAAGAAGGTGCTTGTGCTGATCAAATGTGTCAAAGGTGGTTTGTGAGGTTTCTTGGTACTCATGACATTTTGGCCAAATAATTATTTTGCTGTGGGGCTGGCTTATGCATTGGATGATGTTCAGCAGCACTCCGAGCCTCTACCCACTAGAAGCCAATAGCAGGAGGTAGCGGACATACTCAAAATATCTAAATCAATAAAGTTATTGGTGAAAATGAAAAATTTTATTTTATTTTACAAAAAAACTAAACAAACTTTTTGGCCAACCCAATATATGTCAGGAAATAACATACAAAGTAAATTCAAATTCTTTGACAGGGCTTTGTAAAATTGTACCTGCAGTGCCATAATTTAAAGACTCGCAGCTCAAAATTATATACTAATTATCAGAGCACACTGTCTAATGAGCTTGTGTGCTAGTTTCAAAAACACTGGCAAGAAACAGACTTGTGCCACTGTGGCCTTCAGCTTAGATAGCAAAAGGTAGTTACACACACTTATATCCTTATGATAAAATTACTCATGTGCCCAATACTATACTCAATTACAGATATGAGAAGTGTGAACAACGCTCCACCTTTAAAACTCTCTGCAACAGACAAAAGCCACAGTAAATACTGGTGAAACTCCAAATACCTGACTTACAGCCTACCGTTCTTTCATAGTGGGAGAAAATGACATCTGTTATTGCCTAACAAACTGCACATTCAATAAATACAGTAAACTATGTAACATTTAACAAAATCCTACGATACTTCCCCATTTCCCCATGTATTTCAAGAAGCTTGAGAAAAATGATGCCAACTCCCAAATACTACTGTCAAAACCAAGCTGGTGAAACAAGTCGGTCACCATCCTCCAAGGTATGTGGCATGTAAGGGCATGGAAAAAAATAGAAAAGGAAAAAAAGACACACATATTTTAAGAAAAAGAAAATGAAAGTGGCTTAATAGCTCCTACATCAAGGAAGCTGAAGGTGCAGTGAGCCTAGGAAGAGATCTAGGAGCTACTCAAATTTTCTGGTTGGTGGCAGCTGAACACTACCAGCTGTCTTATTTTGATGTTCTTCAGCATTCCCCTTCCCCCCCCCCAAAAAAAACCCCTCTACTCTAAAGCCTATAAGCAGCAGTGGAAATAGAACACAAAATAAAGGGAAATGGCTGATGGGGACATCAAAACACAAGAGCAGCTCCAACCACATTTCTAGAAGACCCGTTATCAAAGCACAGCTCTAAAGATCTGAATCAGATACCTTTCCCTTTCACATAAGTCTCCATCTGCAACCCTTTTGCTTAATTCTCTTAAATGGAAACCCCCTGCCTTACTCAACCTCCTGATTATCTATAAGTCCGTCATATATAAATACATGAGTATATGTGTATAAATACATATACATACACGAGTATATATGAATAGGCACACATATAAAACATTATCCTTAACCTACACCATTCCACCACTAAGTGAAAGGCAGATTTTTTCAGGGGATTTGGAAAAGGGAGGATGGAGTGTCATGGGGGATGGGGGTGAGAAATATTTGCAAATACTATTGCGACAGACCCTGGAAACGCCACTGCCCCCACCACTCTTGCAAATTCTCTTCATGCAGTACCCTCTTACCCTTTACCCATCCCTCCTCCTTTATCAACAATACACACACGTGTCATAAGCGACCCGCACGATCACCTTTTCTGAAACATCACACGCTACCCTCCCACCCTCTCTAACCACCCACAAAGACACACACTAAGGGCAGAAACTGCTGCCACCGCACCCTATCTCAATTGCTTCTACTATACAGCATCAAGCGCTTGCAGAAATGTAGCTAAGTAAGTACGTAGACACACACAAGCACACGGGCGCGCGTGCCGCATGGGGCGCAAGGACAGGCACCCGGACACGCACCTGGAGGCCGAGTGTCCCGCGCTGCTGCCCCCCGGGTCCCTGTCACTGAGCGCAGCTGTGTAAATCCTCCGGTAGCGGTCGGCCAGGGCCCGGCCTGACAGCAGCAGCTGGTAGTGACCCCGGGAGTCCGCGGCGGGCAACCCCAGCCCCAGCCCCGCAGCAGCCACGGACCCCTCGGGAACCGGCATGAACAGCGCCCCCGGCGCTGGGAAGGAAGAGACAGTGGTGGCGGAGAAGAATCCGTCCCCGCCAGCCCCCGAGGAGGCGGCGGCGGGGGAGGCATTGGCTGCGCACATCATCATCCTCGCCGCTGCTGCCGGGTCCCCGCGGGCCAGGCAGGCAGACAGGCGCGCGCACACACACAGCCCTTTTCCAACGACGACGGCTCCGGCGGTGGCCTCTCGCTCCAGCAACCAGGAAACTACAAAGACAGCAACGACCCCCTCCTCCTCCTCTTTTTCCTTCTCCCCACTGCACGGCCCTCGCCGCTACTGGGGCCGCTCATCTAACCCCGCCACCTCGGGAGTGTGAGGAGGAGGCGGTGCCGCCGCCGCCGCTGCCGCCGCCGCTCTCACCACCCGGACTACCCGCAGTGGGAAGCTGCCGGCTGAACTGGGCATGCGCCACTCCTTGCACATGCTCAGTAACCCCAGTCTGCTTCCCTCCCCACCCCCTCTTCACCACCACTCCCTCAGCCTCAGGGCTTTGGGTGTGGGGCAGGGGAGCCGTCCGGATTCTGAAAGATATCCACTTCTCCGGGTTTTACAAGCAGCTTGAGGAAGAGTAGGCAGGCTGTCAGCTTCAGGCATTGGGCTTCAGGTAATAGGTTCCCTTCAGGTGGGAGAACTGGGACCTGAAAGGGAGAGGGAATGTGCCCACGCCAGAGGATGAGGGTTCCGTGCTCCTACCTTTCCCCAAAGTGTGTGCTGCCAACACGAAGGTTTTCCATGAATAGTGCTGGTTAATTAAGAATTCCAGGCAGAGGAGGCCAGGTGGACTTGAAGTCCCTTTGATTATCTTATTTTGGACTTTTTTTGTGTGATTAGGAGTTGTCTATTTAAATTAGCTTTTACTTACAAAAGACAAGTAGTAAGTTAGTGCATTCCTCTCTTTCTATGAAAGTAGAGTTCACAGTTATGAGAGTGTTCACAAGCCACAGTCATTCCTAAATTTTTGTTCTCAACATTTAATTCAGATCCAAATCTTAAAGGCATTATACTTTTCTTAACTAGTCTTCTGTTGACTCCACACTCCCTCTAAAAGTGCACTCTTATCTACTGACAGCGGTCACTTAATTGCTTCTCTTTTTCTGCCCAGACTTACATTACTGAAGATAGTTCTTGAATATGACCTAAAACTATAATTGTGACTATGTCTGTATAACATTTGAAAATGTCATATCGACCAAAGATCTTATCATTGTTATCTATAAAATGTAATATTTGCTGAGTCCTAAGCTATTTGACTAAGCTATTTGATTAAGCTATTTGACTAAGCCCTTCTAAGTAAATGCTCTAGAAATATAGTTGCTAATGCACCCTGATTACTATTAGTTTTATCCTTTTGACTCTCAAGTTGAAGAGTATAAATCTATGGTCCTGACAAAAATCACTATGTCCCGTCTTCCCAGTACTATATTCTTGATCTACTTACTAGCTTTTATGCCTGTGTCTCTAATCTGAATGTCCTCCTCTCAAAGCCAAAAAAAAAAAAAAAAACTGGGCAGGGGGAGGAGGAAGTGGTGAAGAAATGCATTTTATCTGGGGCTTTAAATGATAGATGTATCTCATTTTGATTTGGAAAAAAAAAGAGCCCCATCATTTTTGTTTATTTGTTTCCCTTGCCTGGGGAGATATATCCAATAGAAAATTGCTGTCAGCAATATCCAAGATTCTGCTGCCTGTGTTTTCTTCTAGAATTAACTATTGGGTCTAACATTTAAGTCTTTGATCCACTTTGATTTTATTCTTGTGTGTGGTGTAAGAAGGTGGTCTAGTTTCACTTTTCTGCACATATGTGTCCAATTTTCCCAACACCATTTATTAAATAAACACTCTTTAGCCCATTGTATGTGCTTGCTTCCTCTGTCAAATATTAATTGACTATAAAGATGCAGGTTTATTTCTGGGCTCTCTATTCTGTTCCATTGATTTATGTGTCTGTTCTTATGCCAGTGCCATGCTGTTTTGACCATCAACAAAATAAAAGGGCAACCCATAGAATGGGAGAACATATTTGCCGATACATCTGATAAGGGGTTACTATCCAAAATGTATAAAGTAGTTCCAAAGAAAACAAAACAAAAAAACAAAGGAAAAATGGGCAAAGGACCTGAATAGACACCCCTCCAAAGAGGACATACAGATGGCCAATAGACATATGAAAAGATGCTCAATGTCACTAATCATCAGAGAAATGCAAATTAAAACCACAATGAGATACCATCTCACACCTGTCAGAATGGCTATCATCAATAAATCAACAAACAACAAGTGCTGGCCAGGATGTGGACAAAAGAGAACCCTTGGGCACTATTGGTGGGAATGCAGACTGGTGCAGTCTGGTGCAGCCACTGTGGAAAGCAGTATAGAGATACCTCAAAAAATTAAAAATGGATCTGCCTTTTGACCCAGCAATCCCACTTCTGGGATATATCCAAAGGAATACAAAACACTAAGTAGAAAGAACATAAGCACCCCTATGTTCATTGCAGCATTATTTACAATCACCAAGCTATAAAAGCAGCCCAAGTGTCCATCAATAGATGAGTGGATAAAACAATCAGGGGACATTTACACATGGAATTCTACTCAACCATAAAAAAGAAGGAAATTTTACCCTTTACAACAGTATGGATGGACCTGGATAACATTATGCTAAGTGAAATAGCCAGTCAGAGAAAGACAAATACAATGATTTCACTCATGTGTGGACTCTAATGAACAAACTGAACTAACAAGCAAAACAGAGATACACTCATACAGAGCAGGTACAGCTAGTGGAGGTGGGGTTAGGGGGTGGAGGGATTGAGCAAAAAGGAAAAAGGTTCATGGATAGGAGGTTATAAAGGGACTATGGCAATGGGAAAAAAATACAATAAAGACTAAGTTTTTTTAAAAGACAGAAGTAAGATAATGAAAACATAGAGACCAAGGGCAGGCATGGGGAATAATAGTGTATTTGAACAGTGAGTAGCCCTGTGAAACAATTTTTGTCTTGTTTCTTCAACTATCCTATACATTCCTTCAGAGCTTTTTATTTACCTTTTTGTATTCCTCAGCTCCTAGTTTAGAACCTTGCACATAGAAAGTGTCCAATCAGTATTTGTTAGGCTAATACCTGTTCTGAAGAGGTACAGGCTTAGTGTTGAACAGGACGCCCACTTTGCTAACCCTGGGATGAGAGCCCAAGACACATGTATAGAGGCATCTGAAGTCTGGTGGAATTAAATACTTGAATGGGTAGGAGCTGCTGTAAGGGCTCATTGTCGTTTCAAGACTCAAGGAAGTAGCCAAAGACTCTGACAGACTAGGATTTGGATCCTAACTCTGCTACTTGTATGTTTTTGGGCAAGTTTTGACCTCTGAGTAATGGTCAAAATAATACTACATGAGATTATGGGAGGACTTAAGCATCTAGGATGTCCACCCTGGCACAGGCTTTTCACAAGTGGTGGCACAGAAAACAAAGCATTCTAGACACTTTTCAAAAGAATGAGTCTGGTGTCTGAGTCCCACATTACCTTGCCAGATCCTAGCACAGGAGGGAAAGGTATTTTGGGATGGACGGATGGATGAGCGGATAGAGAAACATTTCCAGTTTAGGCTTAGGTGGTGCCATGTGAGCCATTGTCCATTTACAGTTTCTAGTGGGAACTGAACCGCCCCCATCCCCCGCCCCACCCAGAGGCTGCACTAGTCTCCAGTTCTTCCCACTCCTTCTTTAATTTCCCTGCGGTCTTTACCAAACCCTCTAGTCCCAGACAGGCCCTTTCCTGAGCCTCTGGGTACACACAAAACCCGGTAACCGGATAATTTCCTAAGGAACCCGTTGTCATTGAGCGGCGCCAACCAGGCGTGCGCAGAATCGCACACATGCTCACTTAGGTATCTTACCGACAGGGGTGTTTCTGTTGCGGTTGGCAGCGTTTCCTTCCACGGCAGCGGCCGCTCTACTCTAAATTGATAGCCAATGCAGCATTTTCTCTCCTCCTCCTCTTCCTGCCTCCGCAATGTGCACTCCCCGTCGCTGCCAACAGCTACAGCTACTGCCTTGGCAGCTGGGCACCTTGGAAGGCTCCCTTGGGATGGCAGGGAATGGGGCGCTGGCTGGGAAGGAAAGGACGATTGGAGTCACCCTTAATTCCACTGGCAAGGGGGCATGAAGGCGAGGGTGGTCCCCAAGACAAGTCACGAGGGTCACCTGAACCATCCTTGCTGACAAGAGATGTGGATTTCTTGAAATGTTGAAAGCAAGCGTCCCCTCCCGCCAATTCCATGCACTCTACTACTCAATACCTTACAATGCTGTTTTCTTTTTTTTTGGCGGGGGGGAGGGGGCGGGGGGGCGGCGGTCGGTCCTGGTTATTCAGGGAAATATGCAGAATGAAAGAATTTAAAGAGCTTTGCTTTTGTATTTCCAGTCCCACTTAGTACTGCTCCGGTACTTTCAGCGCTGCCATCTTAGCTTTATCTTTTGGCTAGGCTGGGCGTGTGTGCGCATTTGTGTGAGGGAGCCTAGAGGCGTGGAGGCGAGTGGAACAAGAACTGGGCAGGTTGGGTGTCAGAATTGGCTACAGAGGAATTCAGAGCACGATTGCCCTCAGAGAATAACATTGAATTAAGGCAAATCCTGGTTTTAACCATCTTAGTGAAACACATGTGTAGTATTTTGCAATCTTTGTGGTTGATATTATGCTCATTTCTCAAAACCATCTGTCTTGTCTATGATCATATACGACTATGACTACATCTTTGGTTGGTATGTATGGTCACGGACTTTATCATTCTTTATATTGTCATTGTGAACCTGCAACTATAATGTTCTAAGCTCTTTACAGATTTATATATTTTGTGCTCTGTTTCTTTAAAGGTGTGTTTTTTGGTTGATTTTTACAGAAGGCCGTCAGCATTGATGTATTAAAAAAATCAAGGCAGAAAACATAAAGTGTATGTAAAAGCACAATGATTGATGTTGTTAGTTTCATTTTAAAGGTTAATACTGTACTGGTGCTTCAAGATTACAAACACAGGAAGCATGTATATTATCAGGAACATCTAGACTGCTGAAAATGCCGTGATCAAGGCTATGAGTTGTTTCCCCGATTTGTACAATGACGTATTGGAGCATTAAAAAACAAAATTGGTAGTTGAGAGCATTTTATAGCAAACTAGGCAGGTAAAAACAATTTGGAGGAGAAATATGTTCAAGCCTGAAGAGGGAAGAAATGCTTCACACTATTTAGTAATCTTTGTTTTTTAAGGATTACAGGATTCTGGATCCTTGTCAAATATGACCATATTGCACTTTAAAATAAAGTATATTTTATATGATCTATTTAATACTCCGAATTGAACAG